GCCTCCACTGAGCTGGAACGTGAAGGACTTGCCTGGAAGAGCCCTGTAGGCTGTGAGGCGCTGGGAGAGGTGCAGATCCCTTGTGGGATGCTTGGAAAGTGAAACTGAACTTTCTTTGGAGGACCACAATGTGGGAGCTAGTTCAGACTCTCCTGAGGCAACCCTATTTATTTGGCTATGCCCCTTTACCTCCTGTTAGCTTGCACACCATAGTTTTGGCAGTTAAAAATCTTGGTCTGCATAGACTTTTGAGGTTTATGTTGACAGTCTGGAGATGAGGCAGGCTGAAATAAATACGTTTAGAAAAAAAAATCATAGTTTTTCCGTATTAAGAAAAAAAGGAAAAAAAATATATTTGGCTAATGTGATGGCTCAGGATGCAGGCGACAGAGAAGGGAGCTTGGTGCTCCATCCCAGAAGATGCTCTCAGCCAAGATCAGGGCAGCCCAGCCAGCAGGGAGGCAAGGAGAGGAGCTGGCACCTTACCCAGGAGGGAAAGTCCACCTGGGGAAGGGGAAACAACGCCTGGGTCAAAATATACCTACTGAAAATAAATATTCCTGCCAGTATGAAGCACTGAAACCCAAGCTTTTCAGGAGCACTGCAGCAAGGAAGCAGAGGTGCTAAAGATGTTGAGGCTAAAAGCGATGGGAATTCAATGCTTCAGAACCAGGGCCTTTGAAAGACAAGTCCTGTTTTCAAAGCCAAGGCTTGTGAAGGCTGGTGTTTTGCTGAAAACCAGCACATATGGACTACACAGGCATTTCATAAAATGTTGTGCTAACTGCTGTGTGGGTAGGAATCACTACCCCATGATTATGTGGTGTGACCACAGTCTTTTTGAAGCTTTTTGTGGTAAAGGGGGAAAAAGTCCATAGTTTGAGTGGGTACATTTTCTAGTCATCCTAATAAAGAATGATTTTGGTTCACAGAAATAAAAATCCTACAATGGATAGTTCATGTTAAAACAAGCCACAACCTAGATGCAAAAAATAAAAAGATATTAAGAAGGATTGTCTACAAACTAGTCGACTCTGTACTAATGCCCCTTATGCACCACAGTAATTCTTACAAATGGCCACAAACCTGAGGTGAAATAAGTGATGCTTAGGTCTTGGATTGACCACTCCTGCAGGGACAAATTTTAAACTCTGACACTCTTCCTCAACATCACTGCTCATGTTATGGTTATGGCAAGAGATATTGCCATTAAACTTCGAGGTGAAAAGAAAAATCACCTTTCATTTGGACTGCTTTCTGACTTTCAAATTTGCCTCCATTAATTTTTCTTTTCCCCAGCATAGCAAATTCACAGAAAGTAAAAAATGTGAAAGATGTGAAAACTGTGTGTGCTAGTGCAAGGACATTAATAAAACTGGTTTTAAAACTGCATTTTTGCAATCTCCAAACTAACATATTTGAAATTAAAAAAAATAGTTACAAAATATTTATGATGCAATTATAAACTTAAATCTGGCCAACTTTTATTGTTGAGAAAACCGGAAAGAACATAATTTCAAAAAATGCTATTCTTCTTTTCTGGTGGCTGCTATTATTTTACTCTTTTTATTGTTTCTGCCATTATTATGCCCTTTGCTGAGCGCTGAAGGCAGGATCCCAAGTATTTCACAGGCGCCGATTCATTCCATGCTGCCCTGCAAAGTGCCCACTCCTGCCTGCAGTTCCCAGGTCCAATTCCACACAGTTTTCTCAGTGACAATCAAAACTAAAACTTCTTAAGATGGTTTGATATATTCAAGTCCCTACACAGTGACCTGACTGTGTAGCTGCATAGGGTGCCACAAGTGCTGTATCTCCACAGTTCCCTGCACTGTCATTCCCTTAAGTGACTGTCTTAGCAATTAGCTGTATTGAACAATGGCATTGTCTTCCGAAATGGCAAGAGGACACCCTGAGCAACCTAACTCTGAGAGAAACAGGCAGGAAAGCAACACTGCCTGCTTTATGACTGTTACTACTACCTGTGTGTGTACTACTATCTGGTAAGCAACACTGTCTTGGGGTGCTACCAGCATGGTGTCTGCCTCCCTCAGCCTTCACACTGCCTGAAAGGTCACCAGAGCCAGGGGAAAGACCCCCGTCAGCTGCAGAGGGCTTCAAGTCAGGCTCCTGATAAAAAAGTGAGAGTGAAAAGCAGCCATCCAAGTCAATTTTAGAGAAATGCATTAAAACATGCAAAAACAGCAGGTAGAAATTAAATCAGGCTGATGGAAGTTGCTCTTGAGACCACCCAATCCTTGAAGCTTTGCATTAGTATGAAACCACCTTCCCTTGGGAGAGGAGGAGGCCAAGGGAGGAAAAAGCTGAGAACAAAGAGGGAAGAAGAGAGACAGACTGAGAGACAAAGGCAGGAAGGGAACAGACACTCCAGGAGCAATGAGGGGTCCCTGGAAAACAGCAGGGTGGGAGTGGGAAAGGGCAGCCGTGCAGCAGCAGCACTTCAGACCACAAGGAGGGGATGTGGGAAGTGAGAACAATATCAGAAAAGGAAAATAGGACAATGAAATGCAGCAGGAGAGAAAAGAAAGAGCCTGGGGGTCTAGGGTTGGGCAGAAGTTGATGGAGGAGAAACTGGAGCTGGGCAGCTGATTGAAGATAGTCAACAGGAGTGTGGAACAAGCGAATAGGGCACAAAAGGGGCAGAAGGAAACAAAAAAAAAAAGTGATGATAAAGCGCCAGAAGTAACTGGGTCATGGCTAGAAAAAAATAGCGAAAATGCTAAGTACAGAGCAGAAAGGATGGAAGTGGCAAAGGGCAGCAGAAGTAACAAAAGTGAGGCATCAGAAAAGTGAAGCCAAAGGGACAGGAGGAGAGGGGAAGGTCTCAGTGCAGAAGGTAGCTGATGAAAAGGGAAGGAAATAGTCAAGAGGATGTCTGTGAAGCCAGAGGATAGGCCGGAGGATTGAAAGCACAATAAATAAAATGGGGTGAAAAAATGGGATGAAATGATGCAGGAATTGTTTTTGCAGAACACTTGCCTCATTTCTGCACTGTCACTGATACTCTTTTGTAGCCCTGTCTCTTCACAGTTCATCTGCCAGCACCTTGCAGTACATCTATCCTACTAAAAAGAAGCCAAGGCAATGATGGACCCCATTCTCTAATCCCAGCTATATGATGTGTCTCACATCTACATGGTCACATCCAAATGGCCGTCTGGGGAGAGCACCTGGCACAAGCCATAACTTGTAACAGGCCTGGGTACTGGCTGGGAAAGCACTTGTTGGCATGAGCCAAAATCACACCAGGGAGCTCTATAAGCCATGCATGGAGGGTTGCAGGACCTTCTGTCTCGGAATTATCGTTTTTCCTAGTAGAGATGCAGCCTGGGTCACTTGGAATATGAGTCCTTCACTTGCTTTGAACGTTCCCCTCATGGTTTTCATCTCCCCCAGAATCTCTCTCTAGGAGCTGGGGAGAACAGTGGGACTGAGGACCCTACAGGCAAGCTGGGACCTGCCAAGCTAGATACCTGCTCCATATGCCCTGTCAGGGTCTGCCTGACCTCACTGATGCTGTGTTGCACTGGGAGTGGTGCCAAAAGTCCAGGTATGAATCTCTCTCTCTTGGTGGAAAATGAGAACAGGGAAGAAAAAGACAAGAATGTCCAACATATGAAGAACAGCACCTGACAGAGGAGCGTGGTCAGGAATCTCAGATTCAATGTGAGGTGAAAGCCAGATTCCTATTATTTACTATGGACCAAGCTTTCACAGCTAAGTGCACATGACCTCTTGCTGCAATGAGAGGAAAATCCACCAGTGGCAGAGCTGGGGCAGATAGGAGAGGTAGGAAGAACTAGAAAATGGGAGATCAGGAGAGGAGAGGAGGGAAGCTTGGCACAGGGCAAAGAAAAGTCACTGGGAAGCGGAGGAGGGTGGTTTGTGGCTGCCTGCAGCAGCAGTGCCATGGTTCAGGCAGGAGGATGAGAAGGTGAAGAGAAAGTAAATAGTGATCGGGACAGATAGGGTAATGCAAGTGTGTTACCGTGCCTTTGAACCGTGGACAGGTGCTTGGGTGAAACCATTGGAGAGGTGACACCAGTCTTATGCTGCTGGATGCACCTCTGAAAAGCCAAATGAAAAGGGGTGGGTGAATATTTGAATACTCATACTTCTGCTCCACTGCTGTCTTCTTCATGATCAGTGCAAGGCAAATCTGTGCCCTGCTTTGAGGAGTCTTTCTGCCTGCCCCAGGCTGCCCTGATTATCTTGACAGTGCTGCCTGCCCCAGTAGTGCCCTCAGCACTGCCTTTTCCCAGGCCCCAGCCTGGCACTGTGCTCCTCTCAGACTGGTCCCCTCTTTGGCATCTTCTGCAGATTTTGAGACAAGGCGAATGGTCTCTGGCACTTCCTATGCTTTCCTTTCCTTCTCTGATGGGTGGCAGGGCCTGCCTCAAGGCTGCTCACTAGATGGGCCCTGGCACATCCCAAGGTGAGACACTCTCTACAAAATTCTCTTTCTTGAAAGACCACTGCTTTGTGCCAAGTTCCTGGGCACACAGCCACGGGAATACAGAGAGCCTCAAATAAAGTCATTAACATCGCAGGAGTCTGCCCACACCCAAAACTGAAGCACCTGTGAGGCACCTGAACAGATGAAACCATCGGTGGATTGATGAGAAGCGGTACCCGAGGGGTGGCAGCAAGATGTACAGCATCTCTCCCCAGCCTTCGTGTCCACTTTCCGGGTGGCGTCCACAGTAAGGAAAAAGCATAGGGACCCCCAAGCACTCGACCAAGGGGTGTCCCGCCCCGCCGCGGACCGCCCCGCGGGGGCGGGCTGGGTGCCCCCACAGGGCGGTCCGCGGCGGGGCGGTACCCACGGGGCGGGGCGGGCTGCTGCGGGCCGAGCCCGGCCGGGTGCAGTCCCCGCTCCGCGCCACGCCGTCGCGCAGTCCCCGCGCCGCTCCGTGGGCCGCCGGAGCCGCCCGTCGGGCCGCCCTCCCTCTCCCTTCCCACCGCCGCCGCCTCTCGCTATGAATGCACGCCGGGCCCTACTCTCCGCCGCCTTGTTCGCCAGTCTCCTCTGGGATTTACCTTGCTGCCTCCCGGCTTCCCTCCCCGCCGCCTCGGAGCTCGCCGCCTCCTCCAAAGGTGGTCGCAGCCGCAGGGTGCCGCGGTCTCCACGAGAGAACCGCCCGCGGCAAGAGGGACACGCCATGGGCCGGGCGCTCCCACGGGCAGAACCCCACGAGTACATGCTGTCTCTGTTCAGGACTTACTCCATCGCGGAAAAACTGGGCATCAACGCCAGCTTTTTTCAGTCGTCCAAGTCCGCCAACACCATCTCTAGTTTTGTAGACAGGGGACGAGGTAAGTTCTGGCCCCCTCCACGTCCCTCGCCGTCCCACCGGGGCTGCAGGCGCCCCTTCTTGCGGAGCCTGGTGCTGGGGGAGTCGGAGAGCGCTCTGCAGCAGTCACCGGTGCTGTTCTCCGACCCGGTATTGCAGAAAAGTGCAGATTTTTCGGTGAATTGGGGGACGCGTTGTTTTATTTTAAAGCAAACGGCCCCGTGGCAGCCGTAAGCACTGCTTGTGAGAAACACGCGTGTTCCTCCCTGAATCGTCACGAGGTGGTGGGAAACACGTCCCAGCTTTGCAGGCGCACTTTGGGCGTAAATTCAGTCATGAAAAAAAAAAGAAAATTAGTATCACTCCTCTGGTTTCTTTCCATCCGCCGGAGAAAGGGTCGCTCTTATCGCCGCGGCTGCACGGCAGAAAGAAAGTTCAAACTGACCGAGGGCAAATATCTGCTGCCTGAAGCTGCCCTCGCCTCGGGTCGCGTTATCGGGGTTACCTGGAAGAGCCCCGGCCCCATCCGAGCGCGCTGGGGCTGGGACCGGCCGGCTCCGCTGCGGCCCCGGGGCTCAGTGGGGGGCGGCCGAACTTGACATCTGCTCCGGGGCCGCACCCTTTGAGCCTGGTGTGTACGGGGCTGGTTGTCACCCACCCCCGGTCTGGGACTAGCAGCCGAGGCCGCTCTGCCGGGCCTTCGGCTGCCTCCCCGGAGGAGGGAGGCGGACGTGGCGCCGGGGCCAGCCGGGCCCCACGCCTTGCCCCCGCTCTCCCCGGGCAGCATCGGTGCCGCGGGGCTCCCGGGACCCCTCCGTGACCTGCAGCTCTGGCCGGGACGCTCGTACTCGGGGCAGCGGGTGCAGGTTTCTCGCCGATCCAGAGTAAAATTTCCCTTCCATAAAAAACGCCTCCATCTTTTCCCCTTTTTTCTTTTTTTCGTTATTCTGGTTGTGAACCATTAAGAACAGACTAATTAACAGGTTCTTAATGAAGGTTGTGCTTATGTTCCTCCCCCTCGCCCAGCTCTGAAGACCCTCCCTTCCGTCCGCGCCCCCCGGGGCCCTCGTGTACCTGCCGGCGGCTGGCAGCGCCGTCCCGCCGCTGCCGGGGCAGCTCGCCCCCCTTCCCCCGCGTCCCAGCCGTTTTAGGGCAAAACGCAGTGCCAGGAAAACTGAGCAGCTCCCTGGAGCTACAGGAGCCGATCGCCCCCCAAACTGACCCGAACCCAAACCGACCCCCTTCTCCGCCTCCCCGAGCCGGAAGCCTCTCCCCGCCCACGGCACCCACGGCTCAGCCCCTTGCCCCATCGCTGTCCCCGGCTCGGGGGGGGTTCTTAGCCGCGGAAGGAGCTCGGCGGGGCTCTTCGCCTCCCGTCCCAGTGCCCGTCGAGCCACTCTGGGCTCCGGAGGGTGCGTGGAAGCGCCCACATTGTGTGCTCCTCACGATCGGAAGAGCGCAGACGTTTCCGAGGGGAGACGAGTCACGGGTTTTCCTATCTGCCTTCGCCTTATGGGGGTTGTTTTCTTCGTCGCTGTTGAAAGCGGGGGTGGGGGGAAGAGAACTCCCTTCTAGAAATAACGTTTCGAAAATTCAGCCGTCAGAAAGGAGCTGGCCCGCTCTTCCCGGCGGAGAGGAAACGGGGTGCTAAGTCTGCGAGCCGCAGGAAATGGAGCCGCGCTCGAGATCATCTTATTCTTGATAACCAGAAGAAAGACAGTTAATTTAACAAATTTAGCTCATCTCGCTGCATGTGAGATTCTACTCCAGGGGAAGTGATTTGCTAACAGAAGTCCTGGTTTGATTAAGGAAAAGCCTCACTTTTCCCCGTTGATTTTGATTTGATGTGTCACAGGCTGTGACCTTCTGCTGGACCTTCTGAGGGTTGCTTAGCATCAAGCCACTGATTGGAGTATTTCAACTCAGTGATCTAATTGAGTGTTCATGTCATAACATATCAAATATTGTCTAGTCTCCCATAATGAAGCGGACCAGCCAATGGCACATCACCAAAAAACTTCAAGAGAGCTTCCGTTCCTCTGAAGTGGTAGCTATTTTACTGCCCACCTCCCCGTGGGCTCCTAGCCCAGTTAATTGGCGAGCTGGAGTTGTGCTGATGGTGAACAGTCTTTGCTCAGGGAAAACGGGGAAGGAGATCAGAGTTTCTGTCAATTCATTTACAGACAATATAGCCGCCCAAATTGACCCAATTAGATGAGCTGCTCTTTACCTAAGCAGCAGCTCCCAGGGGAGACGACGGTGGTTGTCCCACCTGCCGCACGCCATCCTTCATGGCAGCATTTAGGGGGGACAGCAGCCCGGAGAGAAGCGTGAGACAACTTTTAGTCCTGCCGAGAAATACCCTTCCCTTACGACGTGGGCTGCTGTGCCTGCACGTCCGTGAGAGAGTCTGGAGGGACAGGCAGCTCGGCCGCAGCAGTCCCAAGCCCGCCCGTTCCACCGTACTCCGAGGCTTCGGTGTGGACACTGACAAATGCTTCCCTTCGCCTCTTGTTTCTTCCCTTCCCGCTTGAAGCTAATAAGATCGTTTTCAGGGTAGCTCGAGAAGGAGTGAAGCCACACTACTGTGTAATATATATATAATTTTTTCCCCATCGGTAAAGAAAGAGCGCAGAAAGGGGGGAAAGGGTTTGCGATTCTCCCCTCTCCGCCCCCTCCCGCCCCCCACTCGCTCCCCCTTGTTACGGTCGCAAGATCAGACAGGACCTAGCTGAATGTAGGAAAATTACTGTTGGCACATGAAGTAACTCATTAAAACGCAGATGGTGCTCTCACTGGCCTCAGGACCCCCAGCATTGGAGCTCCACAGTAAGGCAGGACAATTAGGAGCTGCAAGGACTCCACCAGGCAGGGGGAAAAAAAAAAAGGATAGAGCGGGAGGGAGCTGGAGAAGGGAGCTATAAACAAGCAATTCCATGGCTAGCAAGAAACGCGGCGCGACTCGGAACAAACCGAAAACAAAAAGGAAATAGCCGGGGTGCGAGGGAGCGCGATTTTCGAAGGGATCTCCCGTGGGAAGGGAGTGTCACAAGGGCCGGCTGCCGTGGGTGCCCCTCGCCTCTCCCTTTTGTGTCTGCAGAGCTGCCCGCAGACACGGGACCGCGGCCGCATGCGAAATGTTCCACTCCGCGCCTAAGGGACGGGGAAGTCGAAATAGGTCGAGATCGTCTCCTTTTTCCCTCCCCGTTTTCTTTGTGCAGTTTCGCGTTCCAGTTAGGAGGGCAGCTGATTTGGATGGGCAGGGGTCCGACCATCGTTATTTTGCTCTTGCCAGGAAGGTCGGGAGGGGGGTGAGTATAGTGGCAGGACAAAAGGGGGATCCTGTGTGCAGAGAAACTGGAAATGGCCCGGCTGTGCATGTGGCAGAAGAAAAGAGTGTAAATCCCACTTGAAGTTCATCTAGTGCAACGTAGTTATGCAAAACAGCGGGTTTCTGGGTGGACCGAAAGCTGCAATGTAGTGTAATCTCTGCAGCGCCTTTGCCCAGGCAATGTTGTCGTTGGCAGAAGGAAAATGAAAAATAAGCAGGGAAGTATTTTAATGGGGAAGGAGGGAATTCACAACTGTTAATTATTTGGTGACCCTGTATTCGATTTGTTTGAGACCCTTATAAAAACACTAATGCAGACCAGACGGCCGGAGCGCGGCAGCCGCTCCTCATCCCCGCCGTGCGCCCGGGGAAGGAGCGGGCGGCCCGGCCCGGCCCCGGCGTCCGCGGAGCCGGCGGCACGGGGGCAGCGAGAAGCGGGCGGCGGCTCCGCGCTGCCTGCGCCGGAGGGGTGTTCCGGGGTCGATGTTTTACCCCCCTCGCTGCAGCAGCTGCAGGAGGGAGCGGAGCGCAGCGTCCCCTCAGCAACCGCGGCGGCACCGCTCGCCTCTTCGCGGTGAAAATCAGGGCTGTCGGCGGGGGGGTATTTTTTTATTTACCTTTCGTTTGTTTGTTGTCCCGTGCGAAGGCGCGGGAGCTCGCGCAGGCAGCGCCGCGGGACCGGGAGGGCGATGCAGGGGAGCAGCGCACACCGGCCCCGGGAGCCCCGCGGCTCAGGTAGCTCGGCGGGGCGGTGCGCGGCGCGGAGCCGCTCTGCTAACGGGAACGAGTAGTTAACGCCTGTCAAGCCACCATTCCGGTGGCTCATTTCGGACCCGGTCCTGATTTTTTTTTTTTTTTTAATATTTTTAAAATCCAGAAACCCTCCTGTGGAACTTGCTGAGGCGTTGCGTTTGATTTTTTAGGGGCGGGGAGGGGACTGGGGGGGACGGAAGGTCGAGCTCTCCGCCTCGGAGCTGTGTAGTTTCCGCCGCCCGCAGGGAGGTGCCGTGCCGCAGCTGGGCTGGCCCCAGCCGGGAGGCGAGCGGCCCGCGGGGAGGAAAACCGACGCAGGCCGGGGTCACCCGGCGCTGGGCACGGCAGCGGGGCGCCTCGCTCCCCTCATTTACATCCTCGCTTCGTAGTAGGAAAAAAACCCCAAACCAGCCGATCGTAGAAATCCTCCTTTCCTTGCGATTTCGGGGCAGGCTGGAACTGAGTTTGCGAGTCCTCCCGTGCCTGAAGTCTGATTTATGAGCGAAAGGGGACGTTTCAGTTCTTGCTAGTTGTAGCCAGATCTGTATGCTCTGTTGCTGTATCCCGGCGCTTCCACATATATGGCTCAGAAATATAGTCCAAAGCGTCCCCTTGCTCCATTTCTTAGCGCTGGGAATATTTAGTCCGATTTTCTCAACCCGAATAATTCTGGAGGAATTATTTCTCCTCCATCGAAATATCTGGGGTAGCGTAACCACCGCAAACGGGGAAAGGGAAGGGTCCTCGCTTAAGGTCTGTTACAGCAGGTAGAAACCCCTCAAGGAAGCTCCTCGCAGCCTCAACGCATCTCATGGGACGATGCCAACAGCCGAGGGGGCCGGAGCCCAGCGGGATGTCCCGCGGGTGTTGCGACGGTCCCTCTGCGCCTGAGGGTCGAGTGTCTCTCGTGGGAAGCGGAGAGGCAGCGACGAGCGGGGCAGTGGGGCGAGGGCAGGCAGCCTTCCCGGAGCAGGTACAGTACAGCGGTGATCAAAGGTACATCACAGCCAGGTGCCTCCGCGCTCCGAGGAGAATAAACGAAAAGAAAAGAAAACAAAGGAAACAGCCCTCCATCAGCGAGCTGGGGTTTTGGCAGGATTGGGAATTCGTCCGAGGAAGGTGTGGTCTTTCTCGGTTACTGGATAGCGAAGCGAACGATACATTTAAATCTAATCACTCGGTGTAATAGAAAACCACGGCGAGACAGGCGCTGGGAGATGCGGAATTGAAACCCGAAGAAATACCACACATGGAGAGTCAGCCCCTTGTTTCCACAGCTTGGGTAATGCTCCGAAAGAAATACCTGTCAGCCTTGCGACTCTGCAGACAACGTGTGGGCAGACCTTCGCAATTAGGGACAATTTATGTTTTAATTTCCAGATTATTGTTGTGTGAGTGCCTGCAAAGTGTCTTTAAACTGCAAATGTGCTTTTGGTTTGCGAGTTTAAATATGGCTTGAAAGAGAAATTGGGAATGGGAAAATTCTTCTTGAATGTGGTTTGGGTATAATTTGCAGTGATGTAAAGTTAAGATCTGAGCCCTGATGAATTGGCTGGGAGCCCAGTACCTGATCTGCCATGAACAGGCAAACTTTGTGTAGCCTTCGCTAACCCCCGTCTCGCCTCAAAGCCCAGGCTGCGGCGAGAAAGCGACCCAGGAAGCGAGAGCGGTTTCACACAGGGAGCTGAGGGAAACGTCCCAGCCCAGTCGTTCATTTAACCTTGGAGATGCTAAAACCGCAGCCACTGCACCGCGGAGAAAAGCGTGGGAGAAGGTGGGCGAGGACCCGGCGCAGCACCCCCGGCCCGGCCCGGCCCGGCCCGCCCGCGGGAGCACCAGGCACGCTGCTGCCTGGGCGCTTCGGGAAAGGCAGAACGGTGTAGGGATGCTCTCTTCTCCCGCCACTGATACATCCTTAAATTCCAGATGGACCTAGTTCCTCCTTCTGACCCTCCTTCCCGCTCCCAATATTTTATTTTCGCCCGAAAAAAATAAACTATGGAGAGTCGAAATAGAACTATTAAGTACTGCGGAACTAACATTCATCTACATTAACGTTACAAATATAAACACACCTCTCCGGTGCATTTTCTGCAGTGTGGCTTTCCCCAGCCCGGATGGACGTGATATGACTTTGCTGCTCTCATCAGGTATTTCGGTAACGGGAATAGCGCTAATGACAGCCTCAACTGGCCTAAGAAAAAAGCAAATCTCGAGCTGGCTGTTAGAAACCCCGGATTACACCTCAGCCGCTCCTTGGGTTTAAAGGAATATTGAAGAGAACCAGCCCCGATCCGTGTGCACTCCTCACAGGAGAAAGAAGGACAGCCAGCGTGTCCCCACGCCGTCTCTGCTGCCACTCTTTGTGTGCTGAGAAAACGGCATCTTCGCTGGAACAAAGGGTCCCCAACCCAGACCCGTCTCTCCCGGTTTTGTGGAGGCTCCGGAGGTCGCGCTTTCCCTCCCCGCCCTCCGCTGCTCTTCCCACCCCTTGACTGCCCTGGGAGCGAGCCAGTACTGGTTTAGGATTATGTATTCATCTGGAATTATTAGGTTACAAGAGTGAATAAATAGCGTTTATCTGATCGGATTCAAAGCTGCTCATTTGAAATAACCGGCAGCTCTGCCCCTTTTCGGAGAGAGGTGCGGGAGCCGGCAGCTGCATAAGCCAGTGGGACTTTTCCAGTGCGCAGTCGTTGCTGCCGAAACCCGCTTGACCGGGGGCACATTTCTCTGCTATTCGGCCGTATCCCCAGCGTGCCATGCCACCGAGCGAGCCGGAGCAGCCTTGCAATGCCTTCAACCCCTGCCAAACTGGAGTTTCAAAGGATGTTGCCGGGGAGTGCACACCCTCAGCAAGCGTTTTGACACCGGCAGTGCCGGAGCTGGCTTCCCCCCAGCACCGCCGTATGACAGGGGTTTGCAGACCCTTTAAAACCCGTTTTCAGCATCGAGGATACGCAGGGAATTCAGCCTCTCCCCGCTTCTCTCCCATCTAACACGCATGCTTGGATGTCACCCTCAATGGGACGATTTCCCGCGCCGTGGCCAGTCACCTGCGTGAGGTTTCCTTGGGAATGGGACAGGGTGGGCGCTGTCACCTCCGTGTCCCCCATCCCCCGGGAAAGGGCCGCCCTTTCCTTGAAAGCTCAGTCTGCCAGGCAGTGCTGCTCTGCTCCTTCACCCCGGCAGGGATGCGGGGGACCCCAGGACGGTGACACCGGTCAAGAGTAAGACACGGGAGTGTCCGGAGGGACAGCGGGCTGCAGGCAGCACTCTCCTCACCTCCACCCCATCGCAAGGAGTACCAAAGAGAGCGAGCTTCTCCCTTTGAAACCAAGCGTGACATCCCCCTTTTCATTCACTAAGCAAAAAGAGCAATTAAAAGCAGATCTATGCCCAGGCCCGGCTCTGCCCACACCGCAAAACCAGGGTTAGGGGCAGGAGAAGGCGCTGATCTGGTTTCCTCAACAGTCGCTGGAGCCCATGAAGGAAGGTCTGAGGCAGTTCGGCAGGGCCAGGAGATCCGTCTGTGCCTCGTCGAGTGTCCGGGCATCTGACAGATGCTGGACGCAGAAAAAAACCAAAGACGAGGAGGAGGAGAAGCAGGAAGAGACCCTGCGCTTTTTTACCCGAGGGGTGCACATTCCCTTCTATCTGAAGCCCCCAATCCTGCCAAGGACCCCCTTGAAGGAAGGGGCAATGGTCCCAGAGATCCAAGTTGCCGGATCCTCCTCCCGCAACCCAAGTGCACCTCAACCCCCGGCCCCGACGGCCCAAGCCTGTGAAGGGGGGAACTATTCCCCCCTTCCCGCCTCAAATCCACAATGGATCAAATCCTGTTCCGTACTTGCAGCGCTGACGAAACCGTCCAGCGCCTCTAGGCAGCTGCCGATGGATTTCACTTGTATTTTCAGCAGCTCGATAGAGCAGCTGTTGTCGTCACACGGACTGTGACGACATTTTTTGGGCTCCGTGCGTGTTTTTTGCAGTCTCCTCCCGCCCTCCCCCGAGCGGGATGCGCGGCCGGCTGGGCGGCCTTTCGCCCCCTCGCCGTAAGGAGCAGCCCCGCCGCGAGGAAACAGCTAAGCCTGAAGGGGGAGGCGGTGGCAAGGATGCGGAAGGCCTGGGTTTAAATTCCCCGGGATGCCTGAAGGGCCTGACCGATCTCCCGACCGATCTCCCCACCGCTCCCGCCGCCGCGCAAGCCTCGTGGAGGCGGGGAGTCTCCGGCCCGCGAACTCCGTCTCCCGCTGACCCCCCGCGCCACGCAGGGCGAGGCGGGGGGCGCGGCCGTGCTCCGGCCGCCTGGCTCTAGGGGGAGGGCAGGTGTGCAGGGCCCGGCGAGTGCCCAGCTCCTGAATGGATCCTGGGATGCCGCGTGGGTGCGCGGAACTGGCCGGGCGGGCGGCGAGGCGGGGGGGACGCGCTCGGCAGGCAGGCAGGCTCTGCCAGAGAGTCTCATGGCCTGGCTGCGGGGCAGGTCTTTTTCCCAGCAATTCCCGCTGTCCCTGTTGCACTCCACGTTCCATCTCCCTGCTGACGTCTAGGGGAACACGTAGCGACGCAGGGCGACTGTCGAGTATGCTAATCCTCACTGATTAACTGCGCGTTAATCCGGATTGATTTTTACATCGCTGTGGCGCGTCTGAAGATGTTGGTTTGCATAAATCATCCCCTTGTCCCTCATGCCCCGCAAGAGGTTCCCCCAGACCTGTCAGGTAGAGCTGAGGCTGTGAAGCACACTGATTAGGAATGGCAATGACCTTTGATATCGATAAATAATAGGCGGGTGTATATTTCTTTAGTATCTGTTTTTATGCCTGGAGCGAGCTGAGTTTGGAAAAGCGGCGAGGGGCTGCTGAACAGAGGCTCCAGTGACATTTTTACTATAGAAATCTACACTAGCTTTACTAGCTTCTGGGGAAACACAGGGGGCTTTGGGAATTTTTGTATTTGCTGGGTTGTAAACATTTTATTGGAAAGCAGCTCAAGGGAATCTGGTTTGCTTTCTGCGCTACACTTTGTACATCGATGTGTCAAAAAAGAAGTCCAGGTTTTTCTCTTAGAGCAGAATAGATACGTATATATGTATATGCATGTATCTGCGTAATGCACATGGGCACACAAATGTTGCCAGTCTCACACTGCTGGTGGGACTGATAGGCAGAGGATGTGCGTGGAGTAGGGTGTGCCTCTGGTGCTGGAGAGTGGTTTCCTGTCTGGTGCGGGTCCTTCATATTCCTTCTCCTTCTCCTCCTCTCCCCGCCCCGCCCTGGTCCCGGTCCGGCTGGGGGGCGGGGGTGAGGCGGGCAGGAGCGGCCCCGGCCGGGCACGCCGGCGATGCTGGCCGCCCTTCGCCGCCTCGGAGACCTCTCGGCAGATCCCCCCCGAGCGCAACTGACTGTAATTATTTTTATCTCGCAGACGATCTCTCGCCCGCTCCCTTGAGGCGGCAGCAGTATGTGTTTGATGTGTCGACCCTCTCGGAGACGGAGGAGCTCGTGGGGGCCGAGCTGCGCCTGTTCCGCCGGCCCCCCCGCGGCCGCCCGCCGCCCGCCGCCCCGCTGCATGTGCAGCTCTCCGCCTGCCTCTCGCCGCGGCCCCTGGACTCCCGCGCCCTGGACCCGCGGGCGGCCTCGGCCACCGGCTGGGAGGTGTTCGACGTGGGGCAAGGCCTGCGGGAGCAGCGGCCCTGGAAGCGGCTGTGCCTGGAACTGCGGGCCTCTGCGGACCGCGGGCCGCGGCGCTGGCTGGACCTGCGAGGCCTGGGCTTCGGGCGGCGGCCCCGGCCGCCGCAGGAGCGGGCGCTGCTGGTGGTCTTCACCCGCGCCCGGCGGCGGAGCCTCCTCGGGGAGCTGCGCGCCGAGCTGGGCGCTCCGCCGCCGCCCGCTGCCCGCCGCCCGCCGCCCCGGCGCCAGCGCCGCGCCGCCTTCGCCAGCCGGCACGGCAAGCGGCACGGCAAGAAGTCCCGTCTGCGCTGCAGCAAGAAGCCGCTGCACGTCAACTTCAAGGAGCTGGGCTGGGACGACTGGATCATCGCCCCACTGGAGTACGAGGCCCACCACTGCGAGGGGGTCTGCGACTTCCCGCTGCGCTCCCACCTGGAGCCCACAAACCACGCCATCATCCAGACCCTCATGAACTCCATGGACCCCGGCTCCACGCCGCCCAGCTGCTGTGTCCCCACCAAACTGACTCCCATCAGCATCCTCTACATCGACGCCGGCAACAACGTGGTGTATAAGCAGTACGAGGACATGGTGGTGGAGTCCTGCGGCTGCAGGTAGCGGGCGGGACGCCCCTCGGCGGCAGCCGGGTCTGCGTCTGGCGGAGGAGCGCCGGCAAAGGCGAGCGGGGCCGTCGCTCCGCGCCCGCCCGAGCGCGGCTGGGGCGGAGGGACCGGCCGAGGGCGGGCGGGGCCTGGTGCCGGTGCCCGCGGTGGCGGCGGAGAAGGGTGTGCGGGCCGGGCAGGCGGCGAGGCCCCGGTCCCTTCCCCGCTCTCGTCTCCTCCCCCCGGGGTTTATCTGGCGATCTATCCTCCTCCCTCTAAAGGTGAAGGCAATTTACCAAGTACAAAAAGAGTCGGGGGAGGGAGAGGGAGCAGACTGATCCCTCTCTCTGAAGTTGCTCTGAAGAGGGCTGTTTCATTTCTGCCCTCTCTCTTTCACATTCCTGCAAGCTTACCAGCCAGAAATAGCCTACGGCCCCCACCCTCTAAAGGGAAAAAAAAAGAGAAAAGAAAAAAAAAAGAATTGCTTAGGATTGTAATTACCAGCTAGGTTTCATTTTAAGACAGCAAAGAAAAACTGTGAAAAGCGAAGTGTTACAGAAGGGACAACTGGGGTGAATTGGAAAGAAAACTCCTTCGGATCTCACGAACAGTGCAAGGATGCCATTGCCAGGTCTCTGGGTAGTTCTGACTCGGCAGCTTTTGCAACTTGCAGCAGTATTATACGAAAATGTTGTGCTGGAAAAGGCGTTCTGTGTAAGATTTCTGTTTCTTTCCCACCCTTGCTGTCAGCTGTGGCTTCACCTGAGGGAAGTGCACTTCGAAGTATACCTAGCTCTTTTTTAATGTAACTGTTATGTTCATAGTTTCAGGATTTCCCCACTGATTTCTAGAATTGTTGGCTTATCTGGTTTTGCAGAGCTACAAACTCGTGGAAAAAAAATTAAAAAGAGAATAGAATAATAATATAAAATGCTGATAAAAAGACTCGACCAGGAGCATTAATTTAAAATGCACATTTTGCTTTGGATGCACTGTTGTTCATATAAAAGTTGTAAATATTTGTTTATTTAAACAGACTGAAAAGTGCAAAATGGAGATGAACAACATGCATTTCTTTTTTAATGTACAAAACATGATATGCACTCGAAATGTTATAATTTCTAATATTTTTTAAAGTTTATATTTGAGTTGTACAGAATTAAGCATTAATCAAATATTTCATCTTTACTTAACATTATCATTTCCTTAAGATATTATTACAGGATTTAAATTCTGTGCTAATAATGGAGAAAAGATTTTTTTTTTTTACTGTCTACCTCACTATAATGCAAGTATTTACAACTCTAAAGTTATCTGAGGTAAATTAATATTCAGAACATTTTTCAATACACCGTTACTGGACGATACTACAACTATTATTGTATTATTAAACTTTTTTTTTTCCAAAAAGTCAGCTTGCTTTTTATATGTTCTATTATTTGATTAAGTTACTCTGAGTTCTCAAGTAAACATTGGCTCTAGTTCTAAAATGCTGCACAGTTGAATTGGAGCAAGTGCCACTTGAAGATATACCTAAAGCCATTCCTCCTGTCTGAAGACTTTTTGTATTCACAAGATCTTTAGTTTTGTCTTTCGTATGTGCCAGTGGCATAAAGCTGCGTTATGTTTTTATGCATTTTATGCAATGATTATTGTAAGTGGGAAAATGCATTAAGGGGAAGAATTCAGGCAAACGTTTGTAAATCTCATCTGTACTGGGGACATTAATATACACTGTATGATGATGATGATGAGCAAAAGACAATGAATGTTTTATAAATTATATTTATTTTGATGCAATGGGTAATATATTTATTAAATATTTCCTGGCTATCTCTTAGATAATGAAGAACTATTCAATGAGTAGCTGTTTCAGTAAGAGAAGGATTTCCCTCCTCTCTCAGTGATGCGTGCGGAGAAGATGGTGCAAGCAGTGTGGGGGCTGTGAGCCCCACTCTCAGGGAAAAAAAAATAAACCCCTCATCTTACATGCAGAAGGACTGAAAGAGCTGCTCGCCTTGTGGAATGTGTTTGAAAACAAGGTTCCTTTCATAGAAAGTGTAATTTTTTTACCATATCACAAGATCTGATGCCACACGTTTTTCTCTGACCAGTTTTCACTCCTTTGGACTGGTGCTTGAACAAAGGAGTGCAGAATTGGGCCTGAGTGTTTGAATAGCAGCAAAGACCTGTAGAAGACTCCAGGCTTAGAGTTGGTATAACTGCCAGAGGAATATTGCTTTCTAGTACTTAGTAGTGTTTCAAGTGTTCTTGACTTGTAGTACATTTGGAAATTGCAGCTTTAAAAAGAGCTTTAGTTTTAAAGCCAGGTTCACTGCGAACTTTGGTTGCTGTTCTGACCACACCAGTTCAGTCTTTAGCTGTGGCTCAAACCCAACAGGCTGCAATATACTCTCTGAGAAAAGGTAATCAAGATATGTGAGACAATGGCCACTTGAAATGAGCATAATGTAAAAATCTGAAATTTTACAAAATTCTCAGCTAGAGAAGGCTGAATGAATCATCTCTTTATTTTGCTGTCTGTTGAGCAAATGAATTATTGCTTGTACAGACAATGCTTTGGCTAAAACCATACACTGAGATTTTCAGTGCAGTTTCCTTTCCATGTAAAACCCAATACTGCTTCTGTTGAAAGCCTGCTTATCACACGTTTGGTGGCAAGCGATGCTGTCACTGAGTTGTCCTTTCTGCTCCACCTCAGATGTGGCTTTGGGGAGCTTCATCAGACAAAGTTCAGCTGTGGGAGGCCTCAGAAATCTCCCATCAAAGGAAGTTGTCAAAGGGGGCAACATTTTGCTGTCATGGATGTACAGTGTAGTGCAGTTTGTACCTTCTACATTAGCTGAATTTTTGGTGACATCTTTAATGGCTAGAAAAGGTTTCAAAGCCCTTTGTCCCAAATGTCTCTGCTTGGTAACCTCAAAGGTAAGTGAAAGAACCTGAAAAAAGGCAAAAATAATTATAAACTGCAGTGTCTGCTTTGGAAGCACACTTTTTGGATTTTACGTACTGAAAGAGAGAAAACTCTGGCCTTTTTGAGTGTGTACTCTGGCTACTATAGGTAATATAACATTGTCTGAGCCCATTTTGGCAAGTCTGCTATTCCTAAAGATGGGATTTCTCCTCACTTCCATTTTTAGGTCTGCAGTATTCTTTTGCGGAAATCTGAAAAGGAGCAATATGGTGCTTAGGGGGAGAAGTGAAGAGATACAGAAAAGCTGATCGATGGTTTTCCTTCCTTGCACCTCTCTTCCTCTCTCCCACCCTCCCCCCAAGAGATAGCGAGTACATTGAACAAAAAATACCAGTAATTATTTTTTCAGCTTTTACCACAAATGCTACAAGCCTTTGTTACAGAGAAATCCTAATATGGAAATGCAGTGGATGCATGGCTCAGATCTCTTTGTCCTGCCAAAGTAATACAAAGTTTCTTTTCCATTTCTTAACTCCCCGTGCTCAAAATTTCATTTAAAAAGGGGAAATTATTTCTTTTATTATGTTGCTGGCCAGAAGAGGGAGCAGAATCTATAAAATAGTGGGAATAGGCACCGATGGACAGAAGACAGCTGAAGTTGGTCTGGCTGATGGTGCGATGCATATCAGCAGACTTTACATGATTCTTCGGTCACACTGGCTGTGATGCTCAAGCACAAGAAAACCACTGACTCATCTTTGAAGTATAGATATGCATTGGAACAAATTCTGAGTACATGAATGAAAAAAGATGGTGTCAGACTTAAACCCTTACTTTGTAAGTACATCTCCTCTGTTGGACCATAGGCTCCCTCTTGCATTTATTTGTGGGAGGGGTGTATTTTTAAAAATGTGGGGGTAAAAAGCTGGAAAGTCCCCATGAAGAGCTGACCCACTCTTCCTCCTTGTTATCTCCATATAGATGAAAGGTTGTTCTGTTTACTGAAATTATAAAATAAGCATGTTTACTCTTAACGTCTCAATGTTTAACCTCAAATGTTGAGGGACAGAGTTGATTGCGTTGTATGAAACATTTTCCTTCTTGACCTCTTAATCTTTGCTTCAGAAGCACATCTGAAGCTTTGAGGAAGTCGAGTGACTGAACTTCACCATTGTCAATAATTCAGAGGCTGGGCAGCAGGACAGCAGATTTCAATAGTATGTAACTTGTTCTCTCAGATAGCAGCCATGTGCTATAAAGGAGTATACTCCCCTGGAGCAGGGTCCTCTTGTCAGCATTCAGCTATATTATGTGATTAGATTTCCAAATATTTGTTCTCGTTTCTTTGCAGTGTCAGACCCATTGTAAACTGAGGATGTTCCAGCTGTTCATAATTGAGAGGGAGAAGAATCAACGTCTTGTCCCCGCTATGCTCATCATCAGCCTATTCCTTGATGACTGCAGCCTTGAAAAGTACCACTGTCTTAGTTAATATATGTTATTATTTAGTGTGTTATACTGCTGGGAATTAGAAAGAGTTCTCCCAAGGTTTTAACCAGAGCTGATTTTGCACAATGTCAGCCTGATGCAGAGTATAGGACTCTATATGTGCCCATGTGCTAGCATTTTGACAAAACTAGTATTCATTTAAACTGTGAGCACTGTCAACCCTCTCTCTGGAACTGAGAAGTCTGAAATTAGACTGTGGACCTTTGTCCCATAAGACCGCTTTCTACTAACAACTTTCTGCACCATTTTTTAGGAAGACCCTTGTGTCTTCCTAAAATACATCCTATGGAACATTGTTTAATCAGTGAAAAAGCATTGTTTTCCAAAATGTGAGAATTTTATTACTAGAGAAAATTAGTGAAAAGGCTCCTAAGACAGAAGGTTTTGACTGGGTGGGCAGGAAAGACCTCAGGTGAGTAAGAAAAGTGGAGGTCTGGTTGACAACTCATTGCCTGAGGATATGAGGTGATGGTAATCAAGGACTTTGTCTAACTAGGTTATCTGCTGTAAGAAAAATAAAAAAACCCCAAACCCCAACAGCACAGCACAAAAAATTCCTCAAGTTCTTTGAA